CACAATTGCAATCTACCCTAAATTATCAAAATCAAGTTCGAAAATTCACCACAAGTCATCGTGTCTACTCCATTTCAAATATGCTAGTTTTTGCATTATCCACCCACTGCATGAAAACGTTCTAACATCAATTCGAACATGGGCCATCCAACTCCTATACCAATCTAGCGTAGTGTATTGTTATCAATTTGTCCAAAAGTTAAAGCTTACGCAAATGCAATCTACCCTAAATTATCTAGAATCAAGTCCAAAAATTCATCCCAAGTCATCATGTCTACCCCAATTCAAATATGCTATTACATTAAAACATTTTCCCATTAGTGCTCACTCTATATTCAAGCTATTTGAAGCTTTAACGAATCTAAGATGAAAACCATTAGACCAAGTCATTATAAAATTTAAAGATCTAAGGATTATATGCCACGAAACAAGAACAAAGACGCTAATACTTATTTAGTCCCTCTTTGTCTTTTATAAAATCAAAACTATTTTTAACATATTTTAATCATACATTTACACAATAAAATATTTTACATATAACTTCAATTTTTTTTACTATCTAATTACGCACTTTTCAAAAGATCACTATTTCAAAATTCATTTTTTACCTTAAAAAGACTTTTTAATGAAAGACAAATTAAAGGCTTGCTAAGTCCTTATTTGACAATCATTATTTTGGAAAAATTAAATTTTGAATAATGACTTTTGGAGAATACGAGTTTAAAAAATAAAGAAAAAAAATTAAATTTACATATAAAATATTTTATTGTACGAATGCGTGATTAAAATTAAGGTCCCATTAGATTCTCTTTTTTTAAAATGTATTTTTCTCTCTTTTTTTCAACCACACATTCTTCATTGAAATAATATTACATGTAAATTAAAAACTTTTCATCCATACATTCTACATTAATTTACTATTATAAAATTTATTTTTCCTTAAAAATGAATGTCAAACAATATATATATATATATATATATATATATATATATTGAAAATAATTGTGGTCAACCGTACTAAAATATTCGAGACCTTCTCCGGTTTCGTAGAAAGTATAACAGGCTTGATGGGAAATTTCCTCAACATTTCTTTTTCCAATTAGCAATGTATTCTCTCCACCAATGATACCCTGTCACGCGACGCGCGAGAGAGAAACAACGAAAGATTAGAGACAAGAAAATCGAAACCACAAAAGAAAAAGGAAAAGCGTTTAGGTGAATTTCTCTAGGGTTTCGATTTTCTCCTTGATTGATACGTCTTCAAAGCGATGTTCAAGTCCTTCTGGTAATCGTTTCCTCTCAATTTTTTTTTTGCTTGTTTAAATACGATTTTCCTCTGAAGAGCTTCTGATGTTCAATTTGTTTTTTGTTACTTATATATATTTTGGTGAAAAGACTAATCTTGATTATTTTTTTCTTTCTTTTCTTATTTACTCGTTCTAATTGATTATGTAGTGAAAATTTGGCGCTTATAATATAATTTATGGCTTACAAGTTCATTATCTGACCCTTTCGATTTACAAGAACATCTGCACTCTCTGAGTTGAGGAAGTTTATAGAAATCGCCATTTCTTGATTATAATCAATCTGCTCTTTGGATTTACAGCATGTATCTTGTACACAGCAGTTATTCCTACATATGTTTATTCAATTGATTTCTCTAGGCATCAGTTCATTTAAAATCTTAGGGATGTAGGTGAGAAACCCAATTCCTAGTGCAACTGGAGAGATACCGGTTGTGATCCATGGAACCCCAGGTGGAGATCAAATCAAGCTCTATGATTCGTTTGTGCTCTTTAGGTCTGTCCCTGATAGTTGATTCTAGAATTACATTTCTGATCAAGCCTAAAGCCTGTACACATTCATTCTGATTTTAACGTTGATGGATTATGATGACTAATAAGGTTCTGCCATAGAATAGCAAATCAAGCATAGTCTACTTTAGATCTTTCTTCTACCCTCCAAATCATTGGCGAAGACTATGTTGGTGTGACTTATCTTGAAAAAGTGAAAGTATATAATTGCACATTTTTTAAAACTAATCTGTTTGCAAGATTATGGAAAGAGGTCACTTCAGAAACATGTCGTACAACATGGTGTCTTAAAATGTAACTGTTGGTCTGTATAAGGCACCGTGGTTAGTTTTACGTGGTTGATGTCTTTGTTGTGTTTGTTTATGACCTGGGTTAATTATGCTGGAAAAATAAAGTTGTCTACAGAGGAGATTATACAACATGGTGCCATCGGGACGGTGGACCAGGTTTGTTGAGCATCATAGTCTCACTTGGAACAGTCATGGGAAATTCATTCAATTTTTCCGCAGTTTCTGTTCCTGTGCATTTCATCTTCTTGTTATTTTCTCTTTGTAAATCTCAAAAATGCTTTCTGTTTTACAAGGAAATTGAATGAAAGATACTGATGTTAGTGGTGTTATCTTATCTAAGACACACAAGCTTCAGATCAGGTGTTTGTTAATGTGCTTTAATTGCATTTATCCACAGGGGTTCTCAGGAGCAACAAACTCAGCCACACCCGCAAGAAATTTCTACAGATTCGTGGTACCCACCATCTGTTGTCAGTTCAACCAATTCTTCACTTCCCACAACACCCAGTGCCAGCTCTTCCAGCAACTTCAGCATACCAAGGCCCCCAGATCGATCAAACTCGATGTCAAATGTCTCACCTGCAGAGGCTGCAGGTATCATAGCACTGTTGAAAGATAAAAGGTGAAGTCTTGCTATCCCATTTCATACCATGACCTTTTTACTGTCACAACTTTGTCCTTATCCTAAACATCACTGGATGATTAATGATATCTTTAGTTCTTCATATTCAATTTACAAATTTCCAGCTCTTTGTCCACCACTGGTCCAAATTTTCTACCTTGACTCATGATATTTTTACTCGATCATTTGAATAGTTTTTGTTGGGATGTTTGAAATGAAATGATGACCTTTGCACTTGTATGGCTAAAGGGGCCAAACTGAAGTTTGGTGGGGTTGCTTATATGTAATAAACTGTGGAATAATTTAGATACTGATTTAAATCATCCAAAAACCTGCGAATGGGATTGATGTAAAGGCGGGATTCATCGCAGAGAAGAGATAGTATTTCATAATCACCAACAATAAACTAAGCCTTATTCCATTTCCATGATTTAGAATATGAGGACAAGTTCTTTGTAATAAAATCACAGAAGAAACTTCACATGCATATATATTGTACCCGACCCCAACATAGGATAAGTATACATGAAAAAGAATTAAATGAAGCCATAGGTATAAATTAATACCGATTTTCAAGGATTGGTAATTAACTATGAGCTCTTAACCCTTGGATTTCTATATTACACATTGTAGTTTTTGTCACATTCTTGTTTGTTTGCTATGTGCAGTGTTGATGACCTTCGGAAGCTTTTGTCTGACAAGGATGCATATCAACACCTCTTCCGTTCACTTGAGCCTGTCAAAACTCAAAATAGGGTGAGATGTGTTGTGAGAATTATATTTTTCAATTGAATTTTTGTTTCTTTGTTCCTTGTTTCCTCAAGGTTATGAAGATCTACAATTAGTGTTCAATAACTGAGAGCTTGTTTTTGTCCTTTATGATTAAGCCAAAATATTTAGAAATAATTTGCACTTTACACATGTTTGTCGGACGAACCTGTTTGATGATGCTTAAAAATAAGTTAAACATACTTATAATAAATTTGCATTTTAGACATATTTGTCTAACCATATGAGTTTCTTTTTTTCTTACTAATAAATAAAAAAGTTAGTTAATTTGGCTGGGGGTAGCTACTCAAATCATTTTACCTGTAAAATGACTTAAACACCCTCACTAACTTAACAATATTATATTATGCAAAAATAATAATAAAGTAATTAAAAATCATTAGTTAAGTAATAAAACGTTAAACTCTTAAATTGATAAATAGAATCTGTATATAAATTTAAATTAAATATGTATATTAAATATGAGTTTCTATGTAACAATTTAATTAAGGCCCCGTTTGACTCTCATTTTTATCAAAATACATTTATCTCTCTTCTTTTTGACAATACATTCTTCATTAAAATAATATTACACATAAATCAAAATCTTTTCCGTATTTTTCATCCACATTCTTCATCGATCTACTATTTTAAAATTTATTTTTCCATAAAAATGGGTGTCAAACACCCTCTAAATTTTTCTACAAATAGTAATAATTATCATAGGGCAGCATATATTTCAAAATTTTCATCAGTTAAATAATGAACTTCTTGAAATAGTAGCTGCTAAATCAATTTAGCCCCTGTTTGGTGGGGATAAAAATTAGAGTTTTAGTAGATTTTTTGATAAAGTTGGTGAAATGTTTAGTTGCAAGTTGATAAAAGTTGTGGGTACTATGAAATGTGTGGTTGAAAATGAGTTTGAAGAAAAAATGAGTTTTTAAGAATTGGGGGCCAAACAGGGGTTTAATAGATTGATTATTAATAAATATTTTCAGTAAAACTTTAAGTATCTGACATTATAACTCTACTCGTGAATGACCATTTTGCCAAACACTAAAACAACAAATATTTTGAGATTATCCAGTAGGATCCCATGTCCATAACTTGGATTAGTTATATAGAAGTATGTTATATGAGTTGTTGAAGAAGAAGGTAAGTAAGAAATTCCAGTTTTTTATTCTATGGGACACATCAGGTTTGCTGCATGTACGCAATGTAAGGTATAGTCCTGGAATTTGGTAAAAGTTTGGAGCAAATGTATAATGAGGAATTTCTGTTTGCATTGTCTTTGATGTATAAATTATATGCTGCTTCAGAGGGCGACAAAGATGTGTAACTAGAGTTGATATGTATTATATATTGGAAATATTGATGAAACTTTTGTCAGCTGGAAGGCTTAACATTGATTTTTGTTACTTCCTAGAATTGGCCATTTTCATGTGAGATGTAGGTTAAGTACCTTGTACAGGGAAAAAAATAGCGTGTAAAAAAAAAAAAAATACCTATCCTCTTGCAAATTGAATTGCTTGAAATCCTTATGTGCTACTTCGTGATTTCCATCCATTAAGGGATCTCATATTTCTGTTTGATTACACATTGAAAAGATTATAGGCGCAGGTTAGAGGTTTGCCTGTGTTGGTTGTGTATTTCTTAGAGCATGTTTGGGAAGTGTTTATAAGCTGTTTAAATTATATATAGATAGAAATGAGTGTGGATAAGTGGGTAGTCTTGTGAGTCCATTGAAATGTGTGGATAACAAGTGGCTGTAGTGTTTATAAATAGTTTATAAACATGAGCCAAACATATGGTGGGTTAGTCCACGCTGTTGAGGTAGTCGTTGCCTAAGTTGATTTTTGCATTACTCTTGACACATTCTCCTTTTGTAAATTACTTAATAGGTGAGAGATGAACTTCGGAACGAAACACTGCAACTTACTAGTAAGTTTACAAGTCACTTCATTTTCTAGTTCTATGTACAACTGTAGCGTATCTGTTACGAATTATAACATTTTGTAGGAGCAAATCTGGAAAAAGAACCACAGATAATGGAGCTCAGGAATCAGGTATGTTCATCTGCGCTCAGTTTTCCCTAATTCCTGAACTTACATCAAAATTTTAACACTTTCTACTCTTTTTTTGCGGATGCAGTGCAGAATCATCCGCACAACTGAGCTGGCTACTGCCCTGGAAAAGTTGCATGACTTAGAGAAGAAGAAAGAGGAGATTCTGAAATTTTATTCACCGGTTTCCCTCCTTCATCAACTTCAAGGTGAATTAGAACTGTGAATTATATCAAATTCTGCTTTCTGATGAAAAGATACTGTTGTTATGTTCAATTTTCATTTTCAGTTTGAAGTTTCGTCATATGGTAGTTTAGTCTGCTGAGATTACTGAGCCCTTGTTTGATTCCCATTAAATTACATTACATTATATTCTTTTTTTCTCTCTCCTACTTTTAACCACACAATCTTTCATAAAATAATATTACACGTAAATCGAAAATTTTTCCTTCTTTTTCAACCACTCATTTTTTCAACAAAACACTATTCCCCCCATTTTCATTACCAAAAATGGGGGTCAAACAGGGGCTAATTAGTTTTTGACATTTATTAAACAAATGATTTCTCTTTCTTCCTGCTGAAAAGCAGCAAAAGAGCATGGGCATGGCACCTGAGCATTTGTCCATTGCTGGGGATATTTGTTTTTCTACATACATGCAAAGCTCAATCATTTCCAATATAAGATGAGCACAGATGCAAATGTTACCATCTGTCTTAAATTCTGCAATGGTCTCCACCGGCTTCTAGCATTCTGTCTCTAGCCTTCTATAACCACTCGAGTACTGAAAAAAAAAAAAAAAATTTACAAAAGATGCCATTGAACACAGTATTTCCCTAAACATTCTGGAACCATACATGAACTCGTAACTATTTCTAGACCATCATCTTTCATAAACCCTACTATCTATTACTCTAAAGATGCATCGAATAATTTGTTTCTTCATTTTCTCCTCTCTATAAATCACCCAAATAAATTCTTCAGAAACAAACAATCTAGATTTCACAACCTACATGTAGAATTCTTGGTTGGCTTTACTGGGAAGTTGAGATGCACTAACCTGCTATTAGTAATATGTATTTTTTATACTAGTCATTTTCTCAGAGAGAGTTTCTTTGTAGTTAGTCTAAATAAGTTTTATGTAAGTTATTATTATTTCAGAGGCAATGAATGAAACAGAAGAGGAATCTGATGCCCTCCACAGGCAGCTTCTTGATAAGGAGATTGATATGACATCTTTTGTACAAAAATACAAGAAGTTGCGCTGCACGTACCATAAGCGCGCACTTACCCATCTTGCTGCAAAGACAGCTATAACCAACTAAGCTGTGATGCTGTAATGTATTGGATATTTGTACTGCTTTTCCTTAAACTTGTATAACATTGTTCCATAGGCAAACAAGTCTTTTAAGTTTTGCCTATTTACTTCGAAGTGTTTTTGATGAAGACATCACTTGTTTGGACTCCTATCTATGTTTTGGACTATTATTTATATTTTATTTCATTGGGCTTGTATTAATGGGCTGGCCCAAGTACCATAACCATTAGGCTTAATTTTGTTATTTATACGTTTGTATTGCTTTTTCAAAGACGGTGGATGAATTAATGAAATGAATATGCTTGGTGATCAAGTTTTCCTCCTTTTCTCTTGATTCTTCTCCTTTTGGGTGTCTCCTCCGGTCTTCTTCCCCCTTTCTCTCGAGTTCCTCCTTTCCCCCTCTTGCTGCCTTTCTTCTTCTCTTCCTCTTCTCTCTAACTTCATATCCTGCCGCTTATTTATGTGATGCTACTACTGAAGTAATTGTTAAATGATTCAAGAGATTTCAAAGTCCAATCCATTGATTCTGCATTAAAGTGGTATCGGAGCTAAACTTTAGAATTTTCACTGCATTAGAATGGTTGCAACTACCCAACAATCTTCCCTATGTCAACAGTTAACAGCCAACCCTTCATTGACAGTCCAGCAAAACCCAACATTTCATTCGCTACGATGAACATGTATCTTGCCCATCATCGAGACCCTTGCAACTTTCCAACACCGCAGAGTTCCTCAAAACTTGACTCTCCTACATCCCACGTCTTCATCCAAATTCCCCACTACCGAAAACACAAAACAAAACCAACGTACTATTCACAATTTTTTTTTTAAAAAAGGTACCTCCAAAAGCCCGTTTTCACAAACAATAATCGCCCCCCAATCAATGATCCAACCCCAGCTTCCCAATACTGCGCGACTGCATATTCATCACAAGTCCATCATCTAAAACTGTTGCCTTTCAATAACCTACCTACCTTCATCCAGAGACACCATAAAATCATCCTTGTTTCAACTGGACAACCCCCCACAACCCATTTCCTTCCACAAAATCGGAAGCCTAGTAACACAATACTTTATCAGCAACTACACACCGCACCCCACCCATCAATTATCGACGCCAACTGACATACCACCACCGCAAAATGCCAACCGTTCCTCAGCCAAGTGCCTGATTTGGCATTTAGCAACTCGAGCCACCGACTTCAACATCCAATTCACCATCCACCAGCTGTTCCTAAATCGGTGATCCAAGCAGTCAACTCTCTCCTTTGCCGACCTCTCCACAATCGCCACATTCCTTGCCGCCATCTTCATCAATCAATTCCAGATTTTGATTTTTTTTTTTGTTTTTGTTTTTGTTTTTTTTTGTTTTTTGTTTTCAGCCTCTATTGATTTTGGGCCTTAGTTGTATTTGAGCTGTCTTAATGTTGGGCCATGTGTTATGTATGTGAAATGTTTGCTTTGGGTCTCAATTTTTATGCTCGTTTTGTTTATATGAAAGTGTAATTTAATGTCGTAAGTAATTAAAAAAAAAAAAAGAACAAAAAAAAGAGAGAGATAAAAGTGAAAAAAGAAAAGAAAAGTATTTCTAACAACATTCTGCAGGTACCTCTGGTTATTCTGTTGATCGGTCCATTTACTTGAGCGAACAAAAGGGAAGTTACTGTTTTCTATTTATCATTGATTTATAATATTGTTTCATTTTAAAATTGTATCAATTAAATTTTTGTGAGCTGTTATTCTAATAATTTACCTAAAGTCACATGACTGAATTCCTTGATTTCGTCAAAGCCCCAATTTTACCCCCACTTATTTAGGTGATTAGGTTTTGATTAGTATTTGATTCGTACTTTGTTATTTTACATAGATCAGTAGTATTAGCTTGCCATATTTTGATTTATTTAATCCTAAAATTTAAAATAAATAAAAAGAAGACTCAAATTGTTATTTTCTATTGCTTACACTTATTGTTCATTGATTTCTCTATTGCATGTCATTTAGTTTCTAATACAGTGCATGCATAGTGGTCGACTGATCGTCTTGTCATTTCTAATTTCAGTACCTGAACATGGACCCTTCACAATTTGATGCACTCACCCGACAAATAGCGGCTATCCAAACCTAGATGACTGCTACTCTTGAAGAGAGTAAGGTCCGCTCTACTAATTTGAACAATTTGTAAGCAAATATCTCATTCGTTTGACGTTGATAATTCTAAATTATCTCATAATAGACATTATTGTCATCGATGAGGAGATCGAAATTTTTTTCGATACGATCATAGTAATAGGGATCAAGTTAGTCGGCGAGAACAAGTCTATGATCGTCACGGTACTCATTTTCTTCCTCGTCATAAGGAGAATTTCTTTAGGGACACAAAATTAGACACTCCTACTTTTGATAGTTGCTTAGATTTTGAAATTTTTACTTGATGGACTGTTCTTGAACAAGGAAATCTGTTAGTGACTAAGTATATTGCTCAATTTGAGAAATGTTAAATAAAATGTCATGTCATTGAAGATGTGGCCCTGACTTTGAGTAGGTTTATACAAGGTCTAAGAGGTGAACTTAGGCGTGAGATTTTCTTTTGAGACGTCACTACTCTGGATCATGCTTACTCTTTAGCCTGACATTATGAGTTGATTATTGGTACTCTATATAAAAAGCGTGGTGCAAACCATACAACCATCTCATCAGTGCCACCTTCTCTTAAGTCTAGAAGAAGACCTTCCCCGTCTTATATTCTTCATGCGTAGGAAAATAAGGGTAAAGTTCTTAAAATTCCAAGGACTTCTTCTCACTTGCAGTACTTCAACCAGAAGGACGTTGGTCACATCTCTTTCAAATGTCCTAATCGAGCCCTAGTCATTGAAGTACAAAAAAATGTTATAGATAAGCCATTAGAAGATCTAGTCTGTGAAGCTAAACTTGAAAGTTTTGATGACTTGGATGATAGTAAGGATACCTCCTTAGGTGAAATCCAGACTCTTCCTGAGACTCTAGATACTGTACCCCTTGTGTCCAACACCTCTCGATTACGTGTTATATGTCATACCCTTATCCAACCTAAAGAGCCTAATGATTTCACTAGTCACTTTTGGAGAACCCAGTCGCCTGTGGTTAGCACTAAATTGGAATTCTTCACCGCAAGCCTACCCCGGACTAATGGTCAAAATGAAGTTGCTAACCAAAGTCCTGGCAACTTATTAAAGTCCCTAGTCCAGAAAAATCTTAGGAATTGGGATTTGATGACCTTAACTGTTCAAGTTGCATATAAAAATTCTGTGAATCGGTCTCTAGGTTTAAATCCATTGGAAGTTGTTCATGGTTATAAGTGTAGGTGACCGTTAGACCTTATTCCCATGTCCCCATATGCTAGTGTGTCGATGTTAGCTAAAGCATTTGTATGTCATCTTCATGACTTGCATATTGAGATCAATAAAGGACTTGAAGCAAGTAATGTATCATATAAACTTGAAGCTGATTTGCATAAACGAAAGTTTGAAGTTAATATTAGAGATTATGTCATGTTACAAGCCTGTAGTGTTGGTCCTTATGAAATTTTAAAGCGTGTTGGTTTAAATACATGTGTTATTGATCTTTTATCACAGGCCACCATTCTATTTTATCTGTTAAGGACTTCATTGCTTACAAAGGCTATTTTAACCCCTTTGATCATTTTCTACCTCCACATAAGAATTCCTACATTGAGTTTTGCTATGTCTACTCTAATACCACCAATCACAGCACAGAAAGATAAGATTGATGTTATTTTAGATGATCAGATTGTGTCGACCAATGATAGAGAAATTCGCTACTTTCTTGTTCGTTAGGTGGATCAACTTGATTCTGATGGTACATGGATCCTCAGAAAGAGACCTCAAAAGCGTGATTTAGATTCATTAGAACTTTATAGGAGTCATCAAAATCTTCCTTTGCCCAATTCATCTTGGTCAGATCATATGCTTGGGGATAATTTGCAAATGGCGTTCTCATCATTTGTTGAGTTCCGATATTTGATTGATCAGAAAGATCGTCCTCCGTGGTAGTTCAACCACTTGACAGAGTCGAGTTTTTCTCCCACCCCGGGAAAGTTGATGAGGACATCACTTGTTTGGAATCCTATCTATGTTTTGGACTATTATTTATATTTTATTTCATCGGGCTTGTATTAATGGGCTAGCCCAAATCCCATAACCATTAGGTTTAATTTTGTTATTTATATGTTTGTATTACTTTTTCAAAGATGGTGGATGAATTAATGAAATGAATATGCTTGGTGATCAAGTTTTCCTCTATTTCTCTTGATTCTTCTCCTTTTGGTTGTCTCCTCCGGTCTTCTTTCCCCTTTCTCTCCAGTTCCTCCTCCCCCATTCTTGCTGCCTTTCTTCTTCTCTTCCTCTTCTCTGCAACTTCATATCCTGGTGCTTACTTATGTGATTGCTACTGTTGAAGTAATTTTTAAATGATTCAAGTTATTCTTAAGTTCAATTCATTGATCCTGCATTAGTTTTGCCCTATTTAGTTTGATCTTTCTTTTGTCTACAGGCTTAGAGGGAACATATGGCACTGATTTGTAATGTAATGACACACTGCACTGGAAAAATAATTCGAACTGTTTACTATCCCTTACTACATTTAAATACATCGAGGTTGGTGTAAGATCAATTTCATTACACGCTCATTCTTGTTTAGCTGCTGGGTTAGCAAGGCTTTTAGCTGCCTAGAACCATATGCTATTAGCTAATTTTTTTTTGCAAATATTAGATACATATATCGCTCCTCATTGACATATTTTAGGAGGAAGTGGAGAATTTCTTCTCAAGTTTTACATGTAATATATAATCGCCATTAGAGCATCAAATCGATATGAAAATTTTAGCCATTTAAAAAATAAATAATGTTATCTAGTATCAGTGATGTTAAACATCAGAATAGGTGTCAAAATATTATAGATTCTATTAGGATATAATTGTTTGTATTTAATTGAACTTGTAATTTAATGTTATTAGTGTTGTTAACTAGATTGATGATAAACACCAATAATATTAAATAACATTATTCTTTAAAAATAGGACTTGATTTGAACACCAAGAGCTTATTGTAGCTGCTACTAATATTACACTGCACATGAATTCACCTTGCAAGTCTTATTTTGAAAGATAAAGTGTTTCTAAAATGAGAAACTCTTTAAGTAGTGAGTCCACAGGGCAATTTCCTATTAGTTTATTTGTTGTTGCTTTGATTGTGTTCTCTCCTTCATTGTGGACCATTGGTCAAGCTCCTTAATGAAAAAGGTGCATTTGGTAACGA